TGGAAACTTCCCCAGCCACTCCTCAGCGGCAGTTCAGGGCTCGTCTCATGCAAAAATAATGCGTAAACCATCGCTCCCAGACCAGCACTGTTACACATGAATGCCTGAATCAGGCGGAAACCAGCTTAGGTCAGGAGTTGATCTACTAGAGAAAACAAGTGGGCGACTAACGGAACATGAAGGTATAATCTATTCGACTGTGGGAAACAACTGTAACCGAGCCAGGCCCCCAATTGCGAATGAAAAGTTAAAACATTGACGAGACGCTGAGTGGTATGCTCATTGTCTGCAAAAGCTTCATTAGCCAAAGATATCGTCGTTTGAAGCCCCTGGTTCGCAACTATCTCAGCTCCGCCGCTTCGAGAAAGTCGGCTTTCCGCGTCACAAGATCTAAATCAACCGCTGCAATCCTGGCATCTCCGCTGAGTAGGTAAACAAGACTTAGTATATCTCGGAAATGCGAATTATTTACTGCCATCTCCCGTCGCGATAATCCAACGAGGCTCACTAAAAGCGATGGGGATCCAGGACTGAGACTCGGGAAGCCAACCAGCTTCGACCATAAAGAAAACATGAGGGTTCCAATGTCCATGGTTCTTCTGCTACAACTTGGAGTTTTGAACGGCTAGTGCTTAGCCTAGTATAACGGTATTTCTGACAATCATACTGATTATAGCAAGAGTAGCAAGAGTCTAAGAGAGTAGCCGATAGGTTTCCGCGTCCAGGTTCTCTCGTGCAAAAAGGGTACAGGAGATGACTAGATGACCTTTGCACAAGCCCGCAGAAGCTTTGATAGTTGTCGGTGAGCTTAATAGGTGTTTCAGTCGGAGGCCAATCTTGCGGGCCGGCTTCGATGGGTGAATTGACTATGAACTTATTGAAGGGGGATCCTATTACCAGAACAAGGCAAAAAGGTTATGATGATTCGCATGAAGATACAAGGAGAAGTATAGATGCGTAACGCTATAAGCTAAGTTCGGTCTCAGCAAAACGTCTGAAAGAAATACCACACGATGCTTTTTTGCAGTGGAGCTCCAAAATTGCACCTCAAATTCAAACAAATATTCAGCCCCAATGACGGAAAAGCGAATAAGCTTATACAAACTATACAAAGCCCGTAGTTGAAAAACTAGTCCTCCATATTGACATCCTCTTCATTTTGAGGAGCGGATCCGGATGGACCAGCCTGTGCCTGCGTGCTACTAGAAGCTGTGGCATTGGTTGAGGTTTTGGGCCGGGAGGGCCTCTTGGGCGGTGCTGGATACCCATGCTTAGCCACCATGTGCTATTGTGAAGTCAAGTTAGCATTTTAGCTCAAGGAAGGAATCAGGGAATAAGTAGACTTACATCAAGGAACGTTTTACGGCGGGTGTACGAGGCATCGCAGCCGTCGTACTCGCAGGGCCAGAGCTTGTCTCCCTCATCGCCCTTCCTTCTCGGCATTTCTGTATGCGGGTTGTAGACGGGCTCGGGTGGAGGGTTATGAACAGCTGGAATAGGGGCGTTGGGATCGGTGGGGTAAACGGTGGGCTGAACGAATGCAATGGGCTGGGGAGTTTCACTGAGGCGAATGGGGATATTGAACTGGTGTCCTGGCTGAGCTGGGCCAGAGCTGGAAGAGACATGGCTGGGGACACCGGTGAGGTTGATATACTGGGGACTTGGCGGGTCATAGATGTCGTCTGGGAAGTATTCTTCAGAGTAAGGCCGAATGTCGCCGCTTTGAGCGGCTTCGCGACGGAGAACGTTGAGAGCTTGGAAGAGTTGATCGAAAATATCCTCGTATGATGTGCCGGTGGCGACGCGCATGCCACGGATGCCAGCGGCGAGGTAGTGGCGGAAAGAGAAAGACATAATGAAAATGAATTGAAGAATTGTGAAGAATAGGAGCTTGAATGCACAACTCCACCTCCGGAGAAGCTCTTGGATAACGAAAACGGGGACCGAATTATATGTGGCTGAGAGCAATGAAGTGGGGGTAGACTGCCGGAGACAACTTGTTCGTTCAGTACTCGTGAAACTGTGAACACGTATCTTTGTTGATGGCTGCTCGTTGAAAAGGCTATGAAAAATGAAAGCTTCGATCAATATTGCTAACATGGAAAAATGAAGACTGGGAAGCGAAGTTGGGAGTGACCTACTGTCAACCCGCCTGAGATTTATTACCACTAGACTGAGCGCAGGGCGAAATGGCTACACTTTGCCAGCTTTGAGCATCAGCAAAACTGAATCAGAATAATGACGAAATTTATTTGAAAGTTGAGCGTTGTCTTTCAACCAAACGGATGATCTAAAATAAGAAAAAAGGGAAACAGAACACAACTGAATGGTCGTCTTCTAGCCCGCTTGTTTCAATTGACTTGAAAGCCGACCAACCCTCAAGCTTTCGAGTATCCAAGAGATGTCGCTTGTCTCAAGGCCTGCAAAGGGTGCGCAGTGTTCTCGACCGTAAAGTCGAAATCTGTCTTTGAATAATCGTCATCTTGATGACTGAAGCTATCGTAATCGTGAGGGATGGTATGTTGGATTGAACCCCTTCATTTCAATGAACGGTCTTAATAAGAAGAAGGAGCCAGATCTGGCATATTAAACGAGTACGATTCCAGAAGTATCCCACCGAGGGCGTCATCAAACGCATGACGAGCGAGTGGAGGGCGAGGTTCGGGGTGTTCTGCTCTTTGAGGTTGCGAGAGTGAGTTCACGCTCAAGCGTTCGAGGGGCTCTGGGGAGATCATGATTACCGTCGCAAAAGCAATCAAATAATGGTGCAACCATTTGCACTCTAGAACGGCGGGATGATTGTTGATGCCTCCAAAAAATATCATTAAGATCATAGCCACTTCCTAGTGACATGGCGTGTTAGCTGATTTCTTCGTGACTCATGACTGAGCAGGTGATATTATAAGCGCTTACCATCTGGTTCCGTTGCATAACCTGCCTTTCCAATTTGCCTTGTCTGTTCCCTTCCTATCCCTGACAGATTTGACACACAAGTACCCACTCAAGGGTGGTCCTTGATGTCGAGTTGAGTCTGTGTCTGGCATTCATGGACGGGACTCTGGGACACAATCTCTTTGTTCAGGAGCGTCAGCACCGGGCTGGGCCGAACAGGGGCAGGGCGGCTGCCAAATTTGAAAGAGGTACTGGTGCTCTTGGCGAATTAAGGGAAGCTCTAGAGATCATCAAAAGCCATTGTGCTGTTGTTGATACTTGATGACAAGAATATCAGCCTGCTGGTGCTCAAATGCTACCGTCGTCTTAACGTGATTATTGAGATTGCCACAAGAAGCTACATCCATACGCTCCCTCCGAACTGTTAGCGGGCTGAGATTCGCTGAACTCTTAATCATGGCAGGAAGATCTTTCCTTACCCAGCTCTTTGCAGCAGCGCTTGCAACTCAATTGTATGGTCCTCAGCACCCCCAGTCTCGTGGTGGGGAGCCTTTGCCCCCTCCATCATTGCTATTTTGTATTGTGACGAGAGCAATGAAGTGGCAATGATGGAGGTGGAAGTATAACTAAGGTTCTTGAGGAGTTCCGCAAAAAGAATAGTTCGAGCAGATGACCCAGCCGGGGAAGAACCCCGCAACACGAGTTGCGGGTAAAGATGATCCTGGGCAGCGTATCGGCGAGAAGATATCCGATGTCGTTAGATCTAGGCGGCAAAAGCTGTTCTAGAGTACCTAGAGCAGTCTTGAAGCGCTTTGGATTGTGTCCTGTGAAGTTAGAAAATGTTAACACTCAATGTTTCCAGACGGAATCATTCTATTTTTGGTGGGCCAGACGAAAACCGGAATCGAGGGAGCTTACCGAAGTTTGTTTTTGCTGGCTATGCTTGGCTGGAGGAAGAGAAACAGCGGTGTTTGGAAGTGCCTGATGTGTGTGAGCTTTGTGAAGGGCAGCTTTGACAAAAGCTTGGAAAGAGCCAAGCTCATGAAAACAGGGATTGTTATGATGAGTGAACCAAGATGCGACGGTGAGAACTTCAGATGGGGATGGCACAAATGATCTCAAAGTTACCGATAAATATGAGGGAAGCCGGATGATAAGAACTGAAAGGGCAATAGTGTTTTAAGGCGGTGATGGAGAGCGGTGAAGGGAAGGAAACGCATAACCTGGAAGTGTAAGATCGGAAAAAGCTTTATCGATTCACAAAAAATAGTCAGGAACAATGAAGACAAGAAAAACGAAGGAGAGAGGGGAAAACATTTCACCTAGACTGTTGTCATGTTGGGGACCAAGATCGCTAAGGAATTATGGAAGGGAAGGAAGTCAGCCAGTAGGACAGGTGCAGGCCAGGTAGAGGCGGAAGTTGAGATGGGCAGGTACAGGCCGCTCGAGATGTCCAGCCGCAGTCGGTGAACGTGTGATTTTGATGAAGGCGTAAGAAGGCGCTTGATCTAGATGGCCCAGAAAGGGGGCAATGAGAATTTGTCAGATCAACGAGTCTTCAGGAGAAGGACATGAACTTGTCAAGAAGGAAGACAGTCCACCACATGACATACCAGGAGACTTCTTGCCCAGACAGATGGCAGACAAAGCTGTATCAACATGAAGGAAGGAAACCTATCAAAGCGGCGGAGTTTTCTTTATTCGGCTCATGTTTAATGATGAAGGGACGTGTTGACGCTGTGAAGCAGAAAACAAGGCCTGGTGTACTATCAAAGGACTCAGGGTTCAAGATATGGACATTCCTAAGGATAGAACTATTGTCCGGCCATCGCCATCATCACCATCACCATCACCACCACCACCACCACATGAGATGCCCTTGCTGGGGGGGCTGCCAACATGAGATGCCCTTGCTGGGCAGCCCGCATATTGAGATTCTCTTGCTGGGCAGAGCTCTTTCCAGCAGCTCCTTGCTGTTTAAGCAAGGTATCTCCGGCTCTTGTTTCCGCATTCCATGCCGGGTTTGTTGCTTCCCAGACGACTGACTCCCAAGTCCATCCTTTGACTCTCAAGAGTACTGAATTTTCACGGACGCATCGCACCTGAGCTCAGTTCGTAACGGGGTGCTGAGTCTGGTAGTGCTTTAGTGAGGTTAGTAAGGATATCGATGAACAATATGTAATGAGGTGACTCACACGAGCGCGCGAGCTCCTGAGCGTGAACCGACGGCCGCAACCTGGAACCTCACAGACGTACCACCCATGGGTCCAGTAGCTCGGCGGGTATTGGGGTACCCGAACGAGTCGGCCAGAAAAAGGGTCCCGCACTCGCAGCCGGCCGCCGAATGGAGCTGCTGCTGCTGCTACAGCAGGCTTCTTGGCGCTAGTGGCTGATGCGGAACGTGTGTCGCCATGAAGCTGTCGATGCTCACCGCTAGCTGAAGCAGCATCTTGGGTTGCGGTAGTAGTAGGCTGTCCATGTACAGCGTCGGGAGAGGTGTTGACATTCTGGCTAGCCAAGCCCATGGAAGTGGGAGCAGGAAGGTTCGCGTTGTCGCTGGTATTGGCAATATCGGCGTCAGTGAGATTAGTGTTCACATTATAACCCTCGTTGACGAGGTCCAGCGCTTCGTGCTTCATCCTAGATAATCAATCCATTAACTAGCCGTATCGCACGGTAGCAGGGTTATCTACCTATGCAATGCAGGTGTGAGACTAACTTGATGGCTTGGTGAAGAGGGTGTTCAATTGTTGTGCCGGTGAAGGAATATAAGCGAATGTGTTGACTTGGGAGAGAATGTGAGAGAGGTGGGATTGAGAAAAAAAATGGGAAAAAGACAGGTGGGTGGCTAAAGGATGGAAAAAGAGAATGGAAGTTGCAGTCTCTAGGTGAAAATTCTGATTGCAGCCTTCGCCCCGAGGAAAGAGGCTGATATTCCTCGCATATTCAAGTTGATGTATTGCTGATGTCGTAAATACGTACCGAATCTGGGGACCGGGGCAGCCTCGTGCTCTCTCTCTCTCTCTCTCTCTCTCTCTCTCTCTCGCGAGTGATCCACTTGCTGTTCGAAGCAGGCACCTCACCAACGGCTTCATTTGAGTTTCGTTCTCTTTCCTCTGTGTTGACAGTCTCTTTTTAATCCTACTTTTGTCGGCCTTGCCAATATGTGGTAGAGAAATCTGGAACTCAGAGTTACTTTTCAGCTGAATTTTGGATTGAGTCGCTCGGCTTTCCTCAATGGCCAAGTCGAAGGAGTCTTCCTCGTAGGGAAAGTCGAAGTATGTCTTCTTGGTCGTCTTACTCTTCTCACTCGTCGTCGCCTTATGGTCGTCTCTAGGGTCGTAGAAGTCTTCGCAGTCGTTCATGCACTCAGCCTCCTGTCCTCGTACTCGGGCACTTCTCTATCTCCGCTGTGAGTGACTTTCTAATTATGTGCTGTTGATCAATGGCAATCTTAAGATGACGTTGTGTCTGGTTACGACTCTTCTCCTTTTACTCTTGCCATCAGCTTCTGGCTGTCGAATATGTCCGCGGACACGGCATACGTCTGATCAAGCATCGAAGCCAACACCATAATCGCCGATGGGTGATAATTTGCGGTAGTATCGTCGTTATTGATCTTTTTCTTTGCGATGCCCTTCGAGAATGCAAAGGGAGCGGTGAATTCTTCCCCAATCCGCACTCTGGGTGGAACGGTGTTGTGAGTTGGCTTGCTAGAAAGCTCCGCCACAGCGGAAGACTCAACGGAAAAGCAGATCCCGTTGACAGAGTCGTCTTCTGCTGGCGCTCCTTACAAGTTTCGCTGTTAGTCGAACCTTCGAGCGTAAGGGTTATCGTCGCCGATAAATACGGTGCTATTGACATCTAGCACGGGAAGCTGCAACATTATTTCGTGCCCGACTGGTTTGTCCACAATGACGACATGCTTCCTCTAAGGCGCCCCACGTGTTGGTCTTTATGTATTGATCATTGCGATAAAAAAACACTTGGCAAAGATTCGGTGTCTTCTTCATCGTTTTTATATAATTCCGCATGTCTGAACTGGTGCCAATGTCCATGGCAATTCCATGCATGTGAAGCCATCGATGAGTCTGGCCAGGGTGGACGCAACTAGATCTCAAGGAGGCGCTTTGAGCAGAGCAGGAGTCGCTGGGTGCGACGGAAGATCCTTGAGTCTTCACCCACCCCACGGCCTTTTGTTGGTGGCGAATAGCCTCGCCGGCTATGTCCTAGGCCCCGGCGCCAGGTAAACCAAGACTTGCAGGCAGGAAATAATTCCTTGGCTCCTTGCACCGATAGAAGGGAACTGTATATTCTGTGAAGAATCTCCTCTGCTTATTCCGAAATCAAGGGCTTTGAGTTGCTGGGCTCGGGGAGTAACCCCGTGTTACTGAAGGTAGTGATCCGTGTATATGCCACGGTGTGTAATGATTTAGCCCATGGCGAGGGGTTTGATAATGTTGGTATACACGTAGGCAGGTCAGACCTTTCGGTCGCGACGAGGTCAATATGGGGGTCTATTTGCGCGTATTGAGTGTGTAGGAGAGGAAGATCGTAGGCAGAGCCCGCGATCCCTCAGTGGGTGGAAGTAGGTGGAAGGGTCCGTCTGCACGTGCCCAAACTGCCTACCCCCCCCCCCTCTACCTAGTTGTCTAACTGGGCCCCTTTTCTGCCTCGTAATCCAACAGATAAACTTTATCCATTCTGGGAAGTCGAATCATCGTTCTATTTGTGACCAAAAAAAAAAGTCAAGGAATTATAGGAGATAAAAGTGAGTGATGTAGTGAAATTCCTCAACAGTCAAGAAGGGCAGTTGCCAACCTTCTCCTTCGCCTTTGGATTTGGGTAATTGAAAGGGCCTTCTGCCAGTAACTTGAGCGCTCGCTGTTTTTTGCACCAATACAGTCCTAGTCAGGATTATAAACACCAGATCCTTTCGCGCCTGACGTGGTAGTATTCCCAGTTGTCGGGATAAGCAAAGCCACTGCGATAGCTCACTGGCTGCCCTCATAAAATGCGATGAACTCGAGAACTCCCGTTCAAGTGAATGCCTCAATACCAGGAGGCCCGTTAGCTACCCTTTGAAGCAGGTATTCCCAGCACAGTCCGTAGGCAGAATTATTTCATTTTCTCTCTCGCGAGGTACTGCTTATTCTACAGAGGCCTTTGAACATGGCGAGAGCCTGGCGGGAGTTTCCTGATGTGCGTCGCCGCCTTGTCGCTCAAGATCTCGGGACTCTTGTTCTTGAGGGTGCACGCGTTTATATAGTGCCGGGCGAAGTCTACCCAGCTGGACAGCGTCGCAACTTGCAATGCCTTCTCCAGGACGCAGACCAATCGATCCGTTAAAGAAAACGAAGGACAAATGATCCTTCCCAATATAATAACACTAGTTAACACCAGGTTCTGCTTGAGATATAGGGCCCGGAGTGGCGAGTTTTTATTGCTCCAATAGAACAAATACTACAGTAATATGGAAAATGAGGGGAGAATGTTAAAGGAGATCATGTATCAAACCAAGATGTATTAGGTAGCGTGTGGCCTATGACTGACGGATATGAGAGAAACTTGACGCATGTCTGCGCAGTTGGAGTCAGTTCTCGCACTTGAATGATGTCCCAAGCATCCTACCACTCGAGGCCTCTATGCGAAGAATTTTCTTCGGGAACAAACGCTGGAACCGCAAAATTGCAGAGTGCCCCCTTAATTCGATCTGGGACGCTGACCGCCATGGTTGACCTTGTAGTGCTGTAGCAAATGAAGTCAGCAAAGGTCCCATCGGTTTACGAAGACAAGAAACGTACCCGGGTGCGAGAGCCCTTGTGCTCATAAGAGCGTCCACAGCCAGCGAACTCGCAGACGAACTCGTCTCTGTCGTCGTTTTCGTCACCGACAGTCGGGGTCGGCGAGACACTTTCGCGGGCGGCTTGTTTGCGAGCAGAAGCCATCGCCAATGGAAGCGCGGTACGCAGAACTCGACGAGTGTCAGGTGTACCAGGATTGGCAGGTGCGACATGAGAAGCAAAAACTCGAGTAGCAGTAGGCTTAGGAGCTAGAGCAGAAGCTGGAGGAGGGATCTGAGCGACGAGAGGGACAGATGCCACAGCTGGGACAACTGGTGCGGCGGTTTCGGGTGGATCGGCCTGCTCAAGCATCTTCTGCGTGACCTTCAGTGCGACGCGCAAGACATCGTCGAAGGGAGTGTCTGTGTCGGTGGAGCACTTTTCGAGTGCTTCGATGACTCTTTGTTCGAGGGAAGGTGTCATTCTGAGCCTTTTGTTAGCCAAGGGAGAGAGGAATTTTGAAAGCACAGACTTACTCGTATGATTGAGCTTATTTCCCTCAGTAGAAAATCTGATTGTTTGTGAGAGAGGAAAAGTTTGGATTGAGGAATCTGCGGAGAGATATGGTGGTGGAGAGAAAAATTGAATAATTGGTCGGCATGAAAAGTTGAAGCCGGACGAGCAGAACCTATTCCGCGGAAAGTGAGATAAATGGGAAGGAGCGATCTAGTTGCCATTGAACTCCTTCTTCCGATTCTCCTCAAGTCCTCTATGACGGCGATGCGTGGATCAGGAATCCTCCACCTAGCCGTCTTTCTGCCGCTTGAGTGAGCATGATGACTATTTCGTCTTAAACCTGTGTCCTCCGGATTTGAATGATCCTTTGGCTTCATCGTTACGTTGAGCCCGTGAGGGATTCTGCATCGGGGACATGCTGGATAAGCCATAATGCCTCGAGCGATTCTTCGCATAGTTGTAGACATGTCTTGAATTTCTGGCTCCAAATCTGGGAAATCGTCCTTGATGTCATCCGTCTGTCTCCCTGCTGGTACTAAGCTCGATTGATCTGGCTGAGGATGTTGAGCAAGATAAAGCTTCATGTGGATTACTACCAGCTGTAATTATCTGACATTAATGCAAGGCTCAGCAGAGAATCCTTAATCTTCGTCGATATCTTTGCCTTTGGCATCACGCCTCTCACGTATGATTTTGATGAGCGAGAGAAAGCTCTTGCAGGGCGGGAAAACGTAAGGATGAAAATCCTTTCCATATATTTCCTTGCGACCGAACAATAGCTTTCCATCGTAGAGTCCTCGGCTATGAAGTAGAACGACTAATGATCCAATTGAGAGTGCTTCTCGGGCAGTTTAAAACCCTCTGCCGGGAGTCCTTCTCAGCCTTCTCCTCACACGCACGTATGCGTTGGTCTTGGAGTCGTGGTCAGCCGATACCATTTTTCGTTAACGATCAGAAGCTTCTAAACATTAACAACAACGAGGCATTAGCCGTTGAAATCAGCTTTGCCTTGTACGCTCTCCACATGTCCTGCAGCTTGGCCAACAGCGCCGCGTACAGGGTAATCATCATCAAGGTGCCCTGAATATTGAAATCATCGGCCGCAGTATACCTCAGACGGTGGACACAAAGCCCTTGCCAAACGCGGTGAAAATAAATCAGAAGATCCAGTTCGCGTGCAGACATCTCCATCTCTTCGGTCTGGGTACTTGTCGCTATAAGATCTCCCCGGTTGCGACCAACTACTTTAACGGAGAGGTATTCCGTGTTCCTATAACCAAAGGGAGGAGTATGATATCTAGGAACAGACCATACATTGGCTCAGGATCGGACTATCGGGCCAAAAGAAGAACACCAGAGGAAGAGATCTGCAGTTGACGATAGTTTTGATGGATGACGTTGGTGTTTGCTCCTCCGAATGAAGCCAAGTTGGATGGGGCTGGCAGGGTCGGTGGAATGTGCAAGCCCTTTAGCTTTAACAAGTGAGTTACGATCGGCGAGCCATGATGAAAGACGCTTTTTGACTGGCGTCTGGTGTCGACGAAACTAGAGGGAACCCAGTCTTGCTTCAGGTCGACAACCTGCAGTTGTGCTAGATCAGAGAAATGGTATGAAGTAAGAGCCGAGGGTTTGATGATCACTGAGAACAAATACTGAAGTGACGTCAGACTCTGGACTCAGGGTAAAGATTGAGTAGAGCGAGCATGCCGTCGGGTATGACAGACTTTCATATTGCAACACAATCCCGCCTTCTTCCATTAGGTATCACCTCTACGTCAGGGCAATCCCTCAATGAACAAATAAGCGAAGATAATGGCCTCAGCATCGATCCAAGAGCTCGGGGATGGATATTGATAAAATCAAGGAAGGCTGGCCTGCTTGTATCACTTTCGCAAGCTCGGAATCCGACTTGGTTGGAGTGAACTGCTCCCGCAGTGAAGACGACGGGAACAGCTTGTAGATGATCTCGGGAGCGAGTTCTTTGAGTCTCCATCGTTAACGAGATTGGCTGCCGATGCCCGTGGTTAGGCCTATAATTAGAAGACGGCCGCTTGCTGAATGCTTGGGTGAAGCGTGGACCTCAAAGTGTCATCAAGGCCCACCAAAAGTTGGCAGACGAGACTTTGAACTGTCCTTGTATTCTCGGTACCGGGGCCGTCGTTGCTGGGGCCCTCAACCATGCCGTCATCCTCGTCCTCTCTGCGCTGCGACTTCTCTCTCGCCTCGTCGGCCGCCTTGTGATGCTTGGCGTGCGTACTGAGGCTCGCGCCTCCAAGGGACTGGAGCTTGCGCGCTCCGGCAGCATCCATTGTTGCGCGCGCCATGCGCCTCGACGGGTCAGTCAGCGTGGCAAACCGGAGGTCAGTACTAACCAGCGACACATTGCGCATCGCTGCCAGGTTGATGCGAGGCTTATCATGCCTCTTGACCGTGCCTCCACCGCCGATGGTAGGGAGGATGTCGCTCGGAGGCGGGGAGATCAAGCAGGCTTCCGGGCCCGGGGATTGATCGGGCCCGGTCGCTCAGCTGAGGTAGTTCATATGACGGCTTGAAATTGAGCCTAAAAATGCTTCTCAGCGTTGTAGAGTCGATGTGTCGACCTGAGTGAAGAATTAGCATCCATCATCCTGTAATATTATCGCGAAAAAGAGTCATCTTACCCAAGTTACCTATGTTCAGGAATCTGTTTGTGACCTGGACTTCTGCCATAGTTTCACATTCTGGAGCATAAGATGAGACCGCCTTAGGAGTATTCCACAAGGTGATGGTCTTTCCCATCGTGCTGTTGGCAATCCAACTAACCAGATCAGGCCGGAGCTTGTCACCGCTGGCAGCCACCAGGGAGATCCAGGGGCAGCCGCCATGCTGTTGACCTGTAGTTTAATTCTTTCTATCAAAGTCGGCGTGATCCAGAATGGCACTGGGATTATGTCAGTGGTTATGCCCTTGGTGAAAGGATAATGGGAAAGGGGGCGTACTTGGCTTCTTTGAGCGTGGGGCGCTTGTTGGAGGAATGAACCTCGATCAGGAGCCTTTCGAGATGTCTAGTGAGCAAGGGTATGAGGCAGTCTTTGTCCTTTTCACTGCTCATTACTTTCGCTGGCCTCTAGCTTCTTGCTGACCGAGAACGATGCTCACGATGCGCTGCCCCGTCTCGAAGGCCTAGGCCGGGGAGTATTCATACCACTAAAGAATATCCAAGCTTCCAATGAAAACCTGTCCAAACTTCTGCTCTCCCATCATCTATTCCATGTCTTCATATACCTGCTTTTCAAGACGCGTCTCTTGCCAATCGCAGTATACGACAGCCTCCATCGTGGACGAGCACACTGCTGAAGGATAGGCGAAAGGTTGACCGGTCTGATCGTGATTTCCTCCACCGCGCCTCCCAATTTTCTCGAGCTGTTTCTTTGCAGTCGAGTGTTCGAGCTGATCGTTGTTTCGTTGGAAGAAGATCGAGGGTAAAGGTGTCACCACGATGGCTAGAACCAGAAGTATGGGAGGTGGTGGGTACCCGGCCGCTCCTGCCGTTTCTGCCTCTCCTGCTGCTGGCAAGAATGTCACCAGCCATCAGCCAGATTCACCATTGAACACCCGAAAAGTTCGCGTGTACCTCAGCCTTGGCTCTCAAATATCCAATACCTCATCTCCCACTCGTGGCAGCCTTCGTTCCGGTCGCAATAGACTTCCTCTTCCAACATTATCATCCACTTTGCGCGAAGACCGTATCATCTAGGACTCCAACTACGAAGCAGACGACTCGGGTCCAGCTTCTCTCGGCAAAAGCGAGACTAAAGAACCTAAAGAGTTCGAGGATCTCAAAACAACTCCCAGGGCCAGGGCGAAGAAACTCAGCCCGCGGGTAACTACCGAGAACATGTCGGCCGCCACTCCTTCAGAAGCGACGATGGGCAGCACCACAGGCACCACCGAAATCATGACGGACGATGAAGGTACCCCAGTCAACGACACCCCAATTCCCCTCGATCTCTCCAGCGCCCGCCGAGCCAAGACCCCCGACATGGACATCACCGGTTCATCGAGTGCCTCCTCAGCTCCCTCGACCCCTACCAAGCCGGCCTCCGAGCGCCGCAAAGCCACCCCCAAGGGACCGAAGTTCATCTCTCATAAAGAGGCGAATAGGCAGCTTCGCGATTTGATCGTCGCCCACAACGAGAAGGGAGCCGAGATGAAAGAAACGTCGGCGCTGTACAAAGACTTGATACGCGAGGAGAATGCGACCCCAATTATCCTTGACGAATGCGTTGCTGTCGCTAGTGCTCGACTTGTGCGAGCCATTGACGATGTCGAGGCTCTTGAGGCTGGTCATCCGCCGAGAGTGGTGCTCTATCCGGCCCATAGAATTCCTGAGCTTCTTGCTGCTGTCGAGAAAGCTGAGGCCGAAAGGGACGCGTTCGATGCCGAGAATCAGCGCCTGTTCGCAAAAGTGGCCACACTGAATGAGGAGATCTACGCTCTGAAGGCCAAGGTGAAAGTTGCCAGAAAGGCCGAGCTTGAAGCTAGAATGCGAGAGGGCTTGTCAACTCCCTCGGCGGCCTGCAACAAACCCATTGCGCCTTCTGGATCTGGGCTGCCGGTCATTCTCGGAACCCCGATCGATTCGACGCCTACCACTGTTGGGCGGGTGGGATTGACTAACAAAACACCTGGTCTGGATAAATCTCCCGCTAGCTCAAAGGCCATCGTCCAGAAGTCAACTGCGCGGAATTCCAGAGCGGGCATGCGGGCATCGAGCTTGAATAACCCTCAGACGCCGACTAGAAAGAGAAAGGCTCGACACTGATGGTTTTGGGCTGTGGCTGATCTCTCGCCCGGGAACAAGAGCTCTTTTTATCCTACTTGCCTGCGCGACATTGTATGATTACACAGTCGCCAAGTCGCAAAGGTAAGTTGGCATTGATTGTTCGAATAAGCTTTGTCCGTTTCTAATGCAAAAGCAGATGCGCCTTGACCATGACTAAGCTTGCTATGAGCTCATTAACCACAATTGCTTGCGATCAAGCATACTTGCGACTCCGTTATCTGTTTTCCTACCAAACTTGCCGTCGGGCTGTATGTCAATACTCCGTTCAAACATTTGCTCAAAAACCAGCTAACTTGTATTTCACATGCAGGTTGTCCCGCTTTAGCCCCGAGAGCTAATCCATGGCCAAATGTACCCCAAATTGCGACTAAATTTGGCAGAAGTCTCATGACATGTCCGCGGATCGCGGAGCCGGATGGACCAGGTACCAAATGCCGCTTGCATGATCTTCCGCCAATGCAGACGCGGCAGCGGGTTGCGCCGCTGACACCTCTCGATGCATGTTACCATCAAAGCATGGCACTTTTCCCCGCGTTCTCCAGACTAGACAGTCTAGACTAGCCGCGCAGCATACCATTCTACCGATCTTGGGGGGTTTCCAGGCACGCACATTGGGTCGCATATGCGGGGAGGATTGGAGCTAGGCATTGGCGGCTTTTGAGGGATGATGATGATGTGTTGGAATATGAATTGGCAAACAGAATACGGCGGGCCACACATTTGGCTTAGACTGATGTTGTGACTCAGGATATCCAGGGGACACGTTTGGTATCGTATCCATACCTGTTATCGCTTTGCGCATTCTTGTACAGTATTTTCAGGCACGCCCGCCATGAATCAGATCTGTTTCCCTTCTGCCCCTTCGCCGTTCTATCTTACTCTTGACTAACGATCCCGTAGTAGAATACAGCTTGGCGATCACAATCCAGCTCGTATCCGCCTTCTATTCACGGACAATTTGTCAATACTGTCCGTCGGATCCCGGCACCACGTTGTCGCTGATAATCTAACTCTAAACATGGAATTAACCCCTCGCGCCCTCGCCCAGACTGCGGGGCACAGCTCGAGCTCGAGACTCTACGTGATCCTTAACCACCATCAACGCCACATCCGTGCCGGACCCAACCGATCGAGCTCCGTTTCCCAGAAGCGTCTCAACCGCCGTTTCGACGAACGCCCAATGGTCCGGCTAAGTTACCACTGAATAAAACCGTTAGGTCGGGTCATTCCAGCTTCCCTTTCCAAGAGACTCAAGCTATCACACGGCCCGCGTATCCCCGTTTACGATGGCACTCTAACATACGAGGTCCACCATTCGAGTCAGCTCCCCTGCTCCCGTCATCTCACTCGAGGGAAGGAGGTCAACTTGGCTGCGTAGGATCGTGAGAGCATAAGAAGCAGACGAACCTCTATCCTGGGTTGTATCTGAAGTCCTTGTCCTAGCAGGCCCCGGCTTCTCAGATCTCTCAGCCATGCACTTCAAGACTCTCGCTGCCTTGGCCGTGAGCCTGGCCTCCGTCTCCCCCGCTGCTGCAGACACGACGACCACCATCGACGCCAAGTCGAACCGTGGCACCTGGGAGGGATGGGGAACTTCTCTCGCCTGGTGGGCAAAGCGCTTCGGCACCCGCGATGACCTCGCCGACATCTTCTTCACCACCAAGACCACTACCTTCGGCGGCGCAAGCCTCCCCGGTCTGGGCTTCAATATCGTTCGTCACAATGCCGGTGCTTGCAGCACGAACAGCATCAACGGCGAGAGCATGGTGGTCTCGACCAAGATGATGGCGTCCCGGCAGATTGACGGACACTGGGTCGACTACACCAACACCGACCCGGCCTCATCTGCCTGGAAGTGGGACGTCGACGTGAACCAGCGCACCATGATGCAAAAGGCCAAGAGTCGCGGCGCAAACCGCTTCGAGCTCTTCTCCAACTCACCCATGTGGTGGGCAACCAAGAACCACAACCCGTCCGGTTCCGCCGACGGCAGCGAGAACATCCAGTCGTGGAACCTCCAGCAGCACGCTGTCTATATGGCGAATATTGCCAAGTACGCAAAGGACAACTGGGGCATCACCTTCGAGACCGTCGAGCCCTTCAACGAGCCCACCGCGAACTGGTGGAAGGCCGACGGCACACAGGAAGGCTGCCACATTGACGTCGCCACGCAGGCAACAATCATCAACTACCTCCGCACCGAGCTCAACAACCGCGGCCTCACCAGCATGTCCATCGCCGCCTCGGACGAGTCCTACTACGACCAGGCCGTCACCACGCTTCAGAACCTCGGCGACACCGCCCTCAAGAACGTCGCGCGGATCAACGTCCACGGGTACCAGTACGCCAGCGGCGCCCGCGACAAGGTCTACTCCCTCGCCTCGGCGCGCGGCCTCCGTCTCTGGAACAGCGAGTACGGCGAGAGCGACGCGACGGGCGAGAGGCTCGTGAGCAACATGCTTCTCGACTTCCGATGGCTGCGGCCCACGGGTTGGGTGTACTGGCAGGTTCTTGACGGCGGCGGCTGGGGTGTTATTGATGCGGACAATGAGGCTGGTACGCTTGGCTCGGCGAACCAGAAGTACTTTGTCTTTGCGCAGTTTGCGCGCCATATCCGCGAGGGCATGCGTATTCTGGATGGCGGTTCGGATAATGTCGTCGCGGCGTACGATGCGGCCAACTCGAAGCTTATCATCGTTGCTGTCAACTGGGGCGCGGCGCAGTACCTCAACTTTGACCTGAGCGGATTCTCGCAAGCGTCGACGAACGGTGCTACTGTCACGCGGTGGAGAACGCAGATTGGAAGCGGTGATCGCTATGTGCAGGCGACTGATACTACGATCAGCGGGACCAAGTTCTGGAGTTACTTTGAGACCAAGATGGTGCAGACGTTTGAGATTCCCAACGTCAAATTGTGATTGGGTTCGGAGGTTGATTTCGCGATGTTATTCTCCTAGGATACACGGAAGCAGAGTCCTTTCAAGGTTGACAACAAGTAATGAAATCATATTTAAGCACCTAAATTCTTCCAAAGTCAAGTGAAAGTTTCAGGTCTCGCGTCTCGAAAAGGCCAAGGGACATGAAGACTCAACAGAAGTTCCAATGCTGAAACGATGAGACTTGACGGCATGTGCTTCGCTCACCCAATCATCAAACGTGCAAATATTCGTTGACTAGACAGTCTTCGGTTGACATATCGCGTCTGCTCCGTATCCGCCATCTAGGCTCAAAGTTGACGACCTCCGTGGCTGAGCACCGGCCGAGCCCAACCTCAAAGAAAGACACAACATCAGACCCAACCTCAAAAGCGCCTAATTGCAATGGGACCTAGTCTTAATGCGTGGTGTTGTCGTATATTGTCCGCGACACGTGCCCCCATCCCTTGTACACTATCACAGCGGGAAACCATTAGCTGTCTCCCTCTACATTTCAAACATCGCGGGGAGGAAATTGGAACAAAAAGGTGGGTACGAACAAAGTTCTTGCACTGGTATCTGCGTTCACCGTGAGGCCCGTGAATGATGCATTGGTTCGATGCTATAGCGCACATCTAACATCATCGTTAGTTCTCACTATGGCCTTGCTGGTGTTTGGTGGTTTTCTTACACCCCATATCATCCATGGCTTTTCTACTTTGTGCGGAGGTGGTTTCGCCATTGCGTCATTTGCGACGTCTTCGAAATCTGTCATGTCCGTGACATCTTCGACAGGCATGGCGGCGGTGGCGCCGAGGCCGAGGAGCATCGCGACAACGAGAATATTAGGTAGACGCATTGTTATGATATGTCCAAATAAGTGGCGTATGTTGCAATTTTGCGATTACATGTTTGATGATGAGGTGGGAAGGAGGTCGAGGGGGTCTTAAGGACATCCCGGCGATCCGGGTTGTCAATATTTGTTCACATTTCCGGGGTAGACTTTCAGCCACGAAGTTTCCGTCAGATTCTTATACAATCAAGACCTTTGCAGCTTCCATTTTGATGGTGCCCGCTACCCGTTGGTCAAGTACGACGATAGTTGACGTTTGCATGGGAAGCGAAATTTCCACCAACTGCCGATGACGAAGATATCTGGTGGTTTTCTTCGCCTGACAAGTCGGCCCGGCAGGATCCAGATAGTGACTTGTGCGGAGCTGTCGTTAAAAGCCTACCATATGACCAGGACAATCACTACTACCTCAGTATGCCCTGACTTCTAGTCAATTGCTATCTCCCAAGGATTGACGCCCTCCATTCCGAATTTCGGGGTTCGCAGAAGTCTTGCTCCACTTACCGGACCTGGCAGATTTGCAAGGGACTTTGGGCGCTTGATTGGATTCTGGTTGGTGTTGGACCGTGCCTGAAAGGAAACCCCGGGCAGCGGCGCAGGGCGGCCGGAGGGATGCTGATCCCTCCAGCCCAGAGACGACAGCAGGCTTCCGCAGAATGTAAGTAAATGATCAAACAAATGTCCGTTCACCTTAGACGCTCAAGCCTAAACGGCGAGCCAGCTGTAGTACCAGTCAGCTTTTTTATAGATAGAAAGGCGACATTAAGGCGAACTGCTCTTAAAGTGAGGAAAAGTCCGATATACTGCAGCCATTCTCTGCGATGGTGTGGGTTGTAAGATGAACTATCTCAATAGACTCCTATTGTGTGAATAACAGTCCAACACAACCACATCTGCAAGGACGACTGCTAGGTCATCCGTACGACGACTCCATTGGTACTGCGCCCTAGCCCTGAAACCGATAACGTGACTTTATGAAGGGCAGAGTCACTTTAATCTTCTCAAGGTAGAAGGCAAAAACAAGTATACACAGAGTTAATGCAAAAGCGAAATCTGTCGTACATAGACACGTACAGAACCTTAACTAATGATGGAAGAACCCAATAGATGCTTTGAAAGCTTTGTATTACTTCTTCATCTCATTTTACAGGCGTGAAGTTTGATTCGGTATTGCTAGAAATGAGCATGTTTGTCGAAGCTGAGTTATTTAACCCGTCATATCCAATGATAGAGCTAATTTTGAGATCGTGTTTTTCACAGTGTGGCCGGATGAACCAGGCAATACTAATAGGCATGGCCCCACAAGTAACAAGATTTGGGAGCAACTGGAAGTTAGCAAGTCAGCTTGGATTAACAATTGATCGGCAACGAGCAAGCTTCAGAACACAGCACTAAAAGGTAGATAATTAGGTTTTGCCAGCGCCTGCTTGAGTTTCTGTAGAAATTGAACATTCATTACATCTAATGTGCTACGAGGATATGATATGAGTGTCAATAATTATGCTACAGCAATAGATTCGAGTGACGAAAAGTCATAGTATAAAAACGCTGCTTTATCTCTTTCTTCATGAATTCTGCAATAATCACCGGACGCACAGTTATCTTCAGTTATTAATATTGGCTCACATTAGTAACTGCAGCTTCAATCTCCATGTTTTTCTTCAAAGCCATCTTTATCTTGGCATTGACAGCCCTGAGCTCATATGCTCTAGACTCTAGCCCTCCTGAAACACACGATTATTCTCAGCCTGCTTTCTACGTCAACCTTACAATGAACGGATTTCTATCACTTCACGACTAATATAAACAGTGGCATCAAAAGACAGCCATTAGACGCGACTACGTCTTGAATAAGCTGGATGAAGTCTGTCTACTTATCGGGCCCATGTATCGATTTCAAAATGGATGGTGTTCTGCCCCTGCTAAACAAAGAAAATTCTACTGCCACATTCCAGGCATCCCTTCATCCCGCGAGGAGAGAAATAGGCTGAGTGGAACACGGGCCTGTGGAAAGAACACGCTGTGTAAGACACGCTAGATTTAGAACGTAGTAGGCACCTCGGTTCAATACCCCTATTGCGAAGCAGAGGTGCAGGTCAACAAGCCTACTGGAAGCAGTAGCTATCAGGGTGAGTTTGATTGGGACACGGTTGAATCGCCAAGCTGGGCATTCATCAATGCTACGGCAGCAAAGGGCCAGCATCTTGGATATCAATATACAGATGGGTCTTAATCCAATACGGAGCAGGGTTCTTCATGGTCCTGTACTCGATGCCCTTGGGGTTCGGGTGCAAAACTTCGCATGACTCATCCGAACAACCAAATGGAGGGATATGTCAGCGCTTTTACCCCTTAAGAACAAAGGAAAACACATACCGAGGCATCTCATAGTTGTAGTCTAGCTCTCGCAGTTACATGTCCGGAGACGATAAGCTCTTAACAAGACCAGGGTGTGGAGGGGTAAAAAGGAGCTTGCTTCAGTAAAATAGCCAGAAAATAGCCTAGTCGACTTTACTAGGACTAATCTTATTAACTAGAGGCGGTATATTTCAGGCTTTGTAACCTAAGGCTTGCTATAAAACCTCAATCAGATAAACCCAACTAGCTCAACACTCCCTTCAACTACGTCATTCATCTTGACTTTTAAAATAAGATAGAAATATATCGCCAAGGTCGCTTCTAAATAAACCGTGAAATTTAATCTCGGGCTATATGACCGCCGCAACATCGCACAGTCGCTTCTTACTATTACGACCCAACGTGCATAACCAAGACCAGGGCCTGCCCCGCAGGCTTGCGGCGGCTGCGGCATACCATATATACAAGCAGACGGGAACATAGGGTGACTCGCGCGGAACGGAAGAACTATGGCAAAGTCACGTGCAGATAAGATAAGATCAATGAGCGCCTGCACCATAGTGAGCACTCACCAATATCCACTAAGCGATCACTCGACAAACAAGGTGATCACCAACAAAGGATATGTTCAGGAACAGGACTTATATATAGGATGGACTTAAGCCGGGCTCAAGAACAGACTTCTATAGCTTCTTCAGCAATCAATTTAGTATTCGATCTCACGATCACTTCCAGCTATCTTTACTAAGAATCCCTCTAATAAGATTACGATTAACCACCAAAGCCTTACGACTTACAGCACATAGCTTCAGGGAAGCTGTCACGGCCACGACACTATTTGGTACCCGCAGCCTCAACTTCTGCTAACATACCTCACTACGACTAGCTGGCCGTAACACGATAAAGCCCCTTAGGTAAAACACCTTCCTCTAGCATTTAAAGTACTCCCCGCCCACTCTACAGATCACCTGTCCATTGGCAAGCTGAGTATGAGCTCCGTCGGTGACAACTATTTCAAGATCAGTTCTGGTATGATTTCAAAGATAAGTACGACTTAGTTTCTTACTGCGCGGTGTAGTGACAACAGCAACATCCATAGACTTGTACTCGTCGGTTTCGGTGCACTGAATCCATCTCCAGGAGATGGTCTGGCCGCCGGGGAAGCCCAACTCGGTGGTGCGGTGTCTCAAAGCCCATTCGACATCCCCTTTGCTAACGCGCTGAGTATTTGATCTATGGGCGCCCCAGCACCATGTAGTTTCGGCGGCTACAATGAGTTGCGCGCCGAGAAGTGGTAAGATGGCAGCCTTCATTTTGTGACTTGGGCCGAGTTTTACTGGGACTGGGTGTTGTCTCTATAATTCCGTCTATCTTCGGTATGTGATGCTCGGATGGAACTGAGGATTTGAATGCTGATAGGTAATTTCGTGTGACCTACCTCTTCTCGTGACAGATATTGTGGGCTTTTTATCTTTACCATGACTGGAACCCAAGTGGTCCAAGTAAGTTATCAATGTCGGAGCTAATATTAAGGCAAAGTTTGTTCAACGGCGTTGTCGAAGCCGACGTTAGATGTAAATCGTTTTTGAAGAGTGCGGGCCACCTCCCGTCGGCTCATCTGAAGAGAGTTCTAGCAACTGGGCCTTCTAGTTGAAGGACACAACCTACTGCGTAGTAGAATGAAGAGCGGTGTCAATCGCCATAACGCACGAGTCAGACACTAGAAGGCGGATGGCTAAGTAGAGTAAGGGCGGTGGCTCCTGCAAGGAAATAATATGCGTGCGCCTTGGAAAGCGACAGATTATTTGGAAATCCTGCCCTTTGCAACCAAGTGGGATGCCGACGGCGTTTTGCGCAGAACAACCGCATGGGCCCAAGCAGAGTCCGTCATAGCTACAGCACGTATCCCAAGAAAAGATCCGATCCTAGTCTGAAGGGTCTTGGATGTGGCTTCTGCAATCTTAGTACCCCGCGAGTCCCCTTCTTGTCGCCATTCACCTGCGATGGCAGCATCGAGGTCATGTTTGGCAGGGAGGGGCTCAATGATGGGTCGATGCGCCTCTGTGGACCCAAGGACTACTTTGACAAAAGCAAGGATGGACTTTGAAAGCAATCTTTCTGATTCCATTCAAACATATCGGTACGTAAAGCTGGAATCATGGGAGGTCTTCTTTCTTACTGGGGCCACAGGGTAAGTCGTTTTGCTTCCACATGCAGCCAAGCTATCTTCGAAGGAAGAAGCATAAGAAATTGTCACCATACCGACTGGCTCAACTGGTGCATCTCGAATCAAACGGGAGTGTCCGAAAATTATCTCATTCATTTGGCCTGAGAAGAAGGCAGACAAGTCAGTGATTGACATAACAGAGAACACTGACTCGAAACTCCTCGGAGTGGAATGTGGTCTTTCACCGCCAATGGGCTCGAACATCGAATTCAGTATCGACGGTACGGTCACTGGAACCTTCCCCGGCGATTCTACAAACCCATTGTCGTGATGCTGACGACTACAGGTTTCGTGCAATTCCTTGACCAAGGAATTCTCTTCACCTCTGAGCTCCACGGAATCTTTCTCCCGTCCAAATCACTCGATCGCGTTATGCCTATCCATGCTAGAGATAGCAAGGGCAAACACGTTGGCCTCGACGTGGTCTGCAATGCAACAGAACTGTTTTACGAGGACAAGGAAGAAGAGAGCAGCGGAACGACTATGATCACGTTCGGGCAGGTTGATCATGCTCTTTTGAAAGATTTGAAGGAGTATATGGAGAAGAACGATTTGCAAGTCATGGAGTGTGAGCAGTCATTCTATGACTACAAAAAGGGCAAATCAACGACCGGGTTCATGCCCATGATTTGGGTCTGAAGCTATAGCTTCGGACTAATTATCGCCTAACTTTGACTGAGGTTTTGCAAAGCGTTGAGCTCGCCGCTTGCGTTCCCCTTACTGAGATGCGAAATGGGGTTGTTTGTAAGTTTTTTACAATTATCACAGAGTCGATACTTGTGAACGGTTTGGCAGACACTGATCTAGATGACTTCGTATAACCATTAAACCAACTTTGGGCCTACTTCTCATCTCTTATCCCTATATGCCCTTCAAACTCTCTACCATGAGAAAAGAATACTCCAGTAGCTGCAACGTGTCCTCGAACCATATTATCCTGCAACTCGACACTCGGCACCGCTTAAAGCTATCTGTCATCCGCCTCAGAGTGGCCGTAGTTTTGGATCGGCGGTGCTGGATAAGATGCGTAACCCGGACCTAGAAGCACCGGTAGGAGCTCACTAGCAGCAAAGGCAGTAGTCAGCAATCTGTCTGAACGTGTTTCTCTCTTGTCTTTAGTGGAAGCTAACAAGCATGCACGGGTACGTACTCTTGTCGTTGAAGTTCCAGTTGGAGTCAGCGAGATTGTAGATGCCAGGGTTGACAATATTGACGATGGAGGCTCCCGTGCATCCAGCATTCCTGTAGGTGTGTTAGTGAAATGAGTCGTACAGAATAGCTAGAGGGCATGCGTAGTACTAAGAAACACTTACTCCCAGATAGTGCAAGAAGTTCCCGCATCAGGCCCAAGCGATGAAACAACGTCGTTGAAGCCGTTGCCCAAATCGTCTAGATGCAGCCTGACTTTAGCAATAATTCCCATTCCTTGCCGTGATCACACCCTGGATGAGTATCAACTTACAGCATTGGCCGGTGTTGGACTCCAAGTTCTGGCAACGGCCGGAGAAGTTGGCGTCGGAACAGATGTACAAGTGCGTAATGGCCTGAACCGTATCGCCCTTGGGGTTGCCGACGCTGTCGACGGGGATGTTGACGGGTCCGTTGTCTTCATCTCGGGGGATCACGCCGGCGAAGGCGGCGGTGACCAGGGTGGCAATGGTGAGAACGGACTGCATTTCGGCTTTGTCGTTGACAGAGATAGTGGGAAATATCAATGAGGCTAGAGACTATGCTTGAAACTGTAAGAGCAGATGCTGGCTGTGGACGATTAGGTACTCAAGGGGAATGGGTGTGACACGGAGAGGTTAATATACCTCCCAAGATCTCATCTTCACTAGCTTTTCTTGGAAAAGATCTCATCGCGACCAATACCACTTTGAGCCCCCAAGGGTTGGATCTTGAGTCTAGACCGAACACCCCAAAGTTGCCGTTTCCAGTCTGGACGAAGCTACGGAAGTTCCAATATCGGCGCTGACTTGCATTCCATACCTGGAACAGCTTCCTTTCTTGACTCCGGCTACCATACTTGCGCTGACTTGCATCCAGTATTCGGAGTCGCGCATGATCTATGCTCTAGGGTATCGAGTCATTTCTTATGTCCGTATAGCCTGCTTACGATTCTGTGGCACCTGCCACCTGCGGGTGAACTCCCCTCTGTTATGGTATTGTGAGAAACCTGACAAAGTGGCCTCGGGCCTCGCTAAAGAAGTATCATTTTCCAACTCAGTCTTGAAAAGGAGAAATTGATGACCATGTGCGGTTGGCGTCCAGGCTGATAGTTTTGAGACTGTCCAAGCCATAGTTCGATCGTCAGCTGGCGCTCAATACAGTGTACGAGTTATGCCAGTGACTACCCGATTCAAGCGACATCGTAGAGCTTACAGTGAAGCAACTTCCTGTAGAGCCAATTGCGCATGTACCTAATTTATGTCTCATGCCGCTATAACTTGGGTTCTAGCAAGCTCTCAAAGAACTATTCGTACTTTGATCTGGCCAAGTCTATAGGCCAAGGCGAACCATGTAGATTATGGGCAGGTTCAGGGCCCAAGTCAAGACGCACGGCTTGCATGAAAATGTAGCTGGATTGGCGATGCCTTTCTTGGCTTCGGAAAAGGTCATCAGGACAAGCCTTTTGGGGAAATGATGATTCTGACTGGCCACCTAGTAGGATATTGAGCTGGATAATGTTCCACAAAGGGGACAACACTGTAACATTAATTCACATAAGCAACCGGCTATCTCAACACGTGTGATGACAACACGAAACTGTCTCTTATCCCCTCTCGCTCATGCATGGCGATAGTGACGGTTCATATGCACTGTGACCCTCACTTCTTCGGGAAGGTCGGTCTAACCGTGCCGCATGCAACTCAAATACCCGGCACGGGGTAAGAGGCATCAGATCCGAAGACCAATGTCACATATGGGCAGGAAATCACGGATGTAATCTGGGATATCATTTGATTCGGCCGCGTTTTGTTGTACTGGTGTGCCCGTGTATGCATTCATGAACATTTGAGCCGGCTGACGGACCAAGGCAGCCTCGAGACGGCAAAGATCACGACGTGGATGCTCGGTTCTGTCCCAGCCTGCTTCTATCGCCTGCAGAGTCGTATACACTCAGCTACCTACTGCAAGTCTTTTTTGGAGTCCTGTAGTCAGATACAGGATTCGACTCACCTCTCTCTACTTGGCTTCTTCTTCTCGAGCGATTTGGAATGACTCGAACGGCAAGCACATAGGGACAAGCCTACACATAAATGCGAAGACTGGGCGGTCAGTCTGAGTTCAAGAAAGAACAATAGAAACACATCCCTCACGTCCAACGATCGAGCTTTACAGTGTGCTTGCACTTGCAGGGACCTGTATTCCCAATATCAACCTGCTTTACACCTCATTGACCGCGAAACTCTAATGTATGATGCCATGCATCAAAAGGTTTCAGCCGAATGCATATAATTAGTTATGCTTATATATAGACTAGGGTGTTCCTGTGAGCGACTTGGGAGAATTCGTAAAAAGCTCAACAACAAACTCAGAAATGCAGAGAAAAAGCAAAAGGATAACCATCCGCGTGATGCATCCGCCGGTAATCGAAACCGGGTCCCTTGCTAACCAGGTGTTAGAATGGAAGGCAAGGATGATAACCACTACACTACAGATGCGGATGTTGGTGTTCGGGAAACACCGGGATTGTTGCCGGGAGGACGCAAAAGGCCACATATGTAGCTAGTTTATTCCACATCCGTGTCTTTGTCGTGGGATCCACAACATGCAGGCTTTGGAAGTCATTTCATTGAGGCGGGCGATGGGGAAGGACGCTTTACACGGACACCCTTGGGTTCCTAACATGAAGGCACATCACCCTTTATCAACTCTTGAACGTATTTGATGGGACTAGCCATCATTTGATCAAGATTTTTTGATTCGTGAAATTCCAGTCAAATTTGACGGCTGATCAGTTGGTCCATGTTCTCCTCGGCTGATTGTCCTACTCAGAGGCAGGCTCATCCGCCAAGTCAACCTGAAAAACACCCTTCGAGAACCTCACAACCAAGTCCCTTGCCTCCGTCTCTGGATCCTCGACATTCCATCTCTCCTTGTCCGTTTCCCATGTAAACTTCGTTATCCGACGGCTCTTGCCATCATCTCCTGCAGGCTCGACCGTGATCTTGCCTAGAGTGTATCCAGTCCAACTCCGGGCAAAGACGACGCTCTCCTCGCCGTCCTTCTCGAGGTGGACAATGACCCAGCGGTCGTCCATATCCTGTGGTGTGAATCCCTTCTTCATGCGCTCCCACCCATCTGCGGGAATGATGCGTGCCTCGTCCCAGCTCGATGACGCCGGCTTCGAGGGCTCCCACTTTGCGTTATCGTCGCTCATTGTTTTGGTAGATTCCTCGGCAGTGCGGGGTTGTACAGTGCAAATCTGTCGGATGTCGCACGCAAGTATTGATTGAAATTTGACGAAATGGTTCAGGGTGGGAATTCGACGAAGTTGGGCGATGGAATACTGGCCCAAAAGCTGCACGACCTCAGATATATGTAGCTTGGATTGACTAGGCTTCTGCCTGCTCCAGTCTGAGTTTCCCCTCCTCGTTGCCTGCTGATATTGACGCTTGTCCCCAAGCTCTCTTACGAGATGACTCAGACGAGGCATTCTTGTCAGCTTCAACCAGCTTGTCTGCATCTTGCCGTCACAATTGGTCAACGCCTGCCATGCAAAGAAAAACCGGCTACTTGTTCAGCCTTGATGGCCAGAGTGATGATAGCCTATCACTGAATTATGAAGCCGCGACCAAAGACGAGTCCAAGCTTACTGAAGATCTCCCTGGAAGCTTGTTTTTGCGCAGCCCGACAATCCAGGGGCCACTGGCGCGGTTTTAGTCATCAACTATTCGGTGCATCCATAGCTAATCCGTCAAGAGACCAGACTGAATCTATGGGCTCTTGGCAACATCTTCTGTTCATCCGGGAATTCGTCAGCTTATTGTCCGAGGATGCCTTCCAATGGCCATCTCTTCGACTTGTTATCAGCATCGGATCCGGCGATTGTGAGGTCGACGTCAAAGGCGCGAGTCTGTAGACTTCATTAGCGTTGTAGATTTGGCGAGAAAGACGCCTGAACTCGACGAGGCTTCAGGCCCCGTTCTAGAAGAGACACAGCTCCAAGGGCTGCCGCCACGGCGAATCCCCTTTTGATCTTGGGCAATGGCCATAGCTCCAGGAGCACGATGGGTGTTCGCGAAGACGGATGTTTTTTGTCCTGAATGACTGGGACTAACGGCGACCTCAGACTGTCTCGGTAAGCCCTCTCTTTGGTTCCCGACGACCTGGGTTCTTTAGCGTCGCTATCCAGGCGTCCAGGCCTTTCCAAGCACGGCCTTTCCACAGACCGTGAGAAAGGACGGGAAATAGTCCCTTATTACATCGGTGCTGGCTCGACTCACTTATGGCCTGAGACAGGCACAGCTGCCATGCCAAATGCGGGCGACCTCGTCCGGAAACGGGCCGCTGTGATCTAGCCAGTCTCTAGTAGTCAGCACCGCCTGGAATGGCGTTAGGTCTGGTCAAAGCGCTCGAGCATTTTAGCTTCGTAGGCCACGCGAGATGTGTTAGTCGTCGCCTCGCCGCACAAAGGGTCGATAGTCTCTTGGTGGCGTTAGAGATATCGTCCATCGGTAGCCCCGCGGTCACAATGAATATCCCAAAGAGGTGGACGGTAGTATGAATGAGTAGAACCAGACATAAAATCGGACGAGAAGACCATGGGAAGTGTTTCCAAAGACCAAGAGTATCGACTCCAATTCAATCCTTCTCTAGTATCCAGGGTCTCTACGAACCGTTTATTCTTTTCAACATGGGTATCTCTTCGTTGACCACGTTTCTTCTTTCATCCACGTTCTTTCTCCAAGCCCTTGCCGCGCCTGCCAATGCCGGCCCAACGGTTACGATCGCCTCCGGTGTCGTGATTGGCACCACGGCCCAACCCGCATCAGCAACCGGAACCGCCAATGCCTACATGGGAATCCCATTTGCCAAGTCTCCCCCAGAACGGTTCTCTCCTCCCCAGGCCGCGGATGCATGGTCGTCTCCACTGTCGGCTCAAGCTTTCAAGCCAGCATGTATCCAACAATTCGCCGAGAAGGGCAACGCCCAAACGTTGCAGAAGGCCTATTTCGGAAACCCAGCTGGGTCTCTTACCGATGAGAGTGAGGACTGCTTGTACCTCAACGTCTTCACTCCTACGGGTACAACATCTACCAGCAAGAAGGCTGTTATGTTTTGGCTGTTTCCCGGTAACCTTCAGTTTGGCACTGCTAGTCTGCCCATCTACGACGGTAGCTCGCTTGCTGTCTCTCAAGATGTTGTAGTGGTCACGATCAACTACCGCACCAACAGTAAGGGCTCTTTACTCATGACTAGTCACCAGCCGTGCTAACCAGATACTCTAGTCTTTGGCTTCTCCAACTCTCCTGAGATTGCCACTGGATCTCAGAACTCGGGGTACCTTGACCAGCGTTTCGCTCTTCAATGGGTGCAGAGCAACATCGCTCAGTTCGGCGGTGACCCTTCACGCGTCACCATCTTTGGAGAGTCTGCTGGTGGTGAATCTGTGAAGCAGCTCCTCGCCAACCCACCCAGCCCTCTTCCCTTCTCGGCTGCCATCATGGAG